GAGGAGGGAGCGCTGTCATTTCAGGATGGCCGAGCGTGAGGAGAGAGAGAGCCGCCGGCTGTCAGGTCCTGGCCAAACGGCTCTCTCCTCAACGCTCGGCCATTCTAAAGCTGACAGTTCCCTTCTCCGCACCCCCCTCCCCCAGCCAGCTTCAACGCTTCACTTCTGTTCCTCATGAGGGCCCAGGACCGGCACGGCTGGTGTTCCTGCATCGATCGGAGGGAGATCAGCAAGCTTCCAGCCGCTGATCACTTTCGGGTCCAGTGATCGGGGAGAGATGTGTATTACATCACTTCCGGTGTCATTGTTTCTCTGGCTCCTAGAGCCAGGAGAGGAAGCTGGTGAAGCAGATATCTGCTTCATCAGCTTCTTTGGCATCCCTAGGTGACATTAGGGGGTCTGAAAGACCCCTGATATCTTCATAAAGAGCACCAGTCACATCATATCTGCTATTACATACGGGGCATATTAGCCCCTTTATGATCGCAATAACGTTTAGTGTAAAACAATTAAGAAAATAAAGTAACATTAAAAAATGCACAAAAAAAGTCCCCCCACGTACATGCACATACAAGAGTAAACACGTGTCGGGTGTGCCTATGCACAAAAATGAAAATTGTGCCACACATGTTACATATCCCCACAAACGTTGGATTGAGAGGAATAATTATAGGGGCATCAATCACGGTTAACACTAAACTGATGACCAGAAAAAGCTTTTAAAGTGTTGGCTATAGGAAATTTGGGGTATTTGCGGTTTCACGGACATATGCAATTTGAAATCTTGACATGTTTGGTATCAATTTAGCCGATGTGACTCCATCTATTATATTTTACCAAAAAATTGGGTATTATATTCTGTTTCTGTGCAATAAATTTCATTCTAGTGTATTTTTTCCTAAAAATACTGGACTGATAAACATTTACTCAAATACCGTCGTGTGACATAAAAAAATTGCAACTAGCTTTTTTTTTCTACAGGGCCTTTGCTTTCAGAAAATATATCATTGTTTGGGGCTTTTAAGCTGTTTTGTAGCCAAAATGTCAGATTTTATCATGTGTGTGCAAATAGTAAGAATTTGCTCCGGACAGCAAGTGGTTAATACAGCATAACAGAGCACCAAAGGTAAGCGGGAGGAAAAAAGTTTAAAATGTTATTAGGAGGGTGAAGTTCCTCATCAAACGATGACACTGGCCTCTGGGCAGAATTGACAGATTTTAGTAACAGACCCAGATTTCCTAATAAGAACTTCTCTATCATCAGTTTCCATGCAAAGTCCTGGAACAAGGCATGGGATCAGGTATTTATGGTAAATTCCTTTCACATTCAGTGTATTATTCTATTTGTGAAGAGTATTCATGTTAAACTAATCAATAAATCTTTCTACGTTGATCTTTATTCATATTTGCTCTCTAATTAGGGTTTTCACCTTTTTTCTGATGTGTAGATTCACACAGGATTGCAGCATCAGATCATATGGCCCTGTCAGCCACATTGCTTGCCTCTGGATGAGAAACTTCTACCGGAGCTACTTAAAGATGCCGGATATGTCACACATATGGTGGGAAAATGGCACCTCGGCATGTATAAGAAAGACTGTCTGCCAACCCGAAGAGGATTTGACACTTACTTTGGTAAGATGAGGTTTAATTTCCTATTAGTAGATTTTTACATACTGTATATTACTGAGGGCCTTTGTGTGAGCCACCTATCTAAGTTCAGTACCAATTTTCCATTCCATACCGTTCATGTGTGAAAGTGTGACTTTATACCAGAGTTGCTGTCAGGGCAGCCATCAGGGGGGTACGGCTGATACTCATGTAATGGGCCCGGGCAGCCTGGGGGGCCAGCCTGGGACCCTTACATGATTATCGGCTGACGGTGAAGAGCGAGGAGGCGGACGGGCCCCTGCAGCGGAAGCCTGGCACTTGCAGCGCAGGGCCCAGCACTGCCGCTCCATCGGCTTCGAGACAAGCTGGGGCCCCATCAGCGACGCTGCTCGTGACGTCACTTCCGGCCAGTACGGCGGCAGAGGAGGCATGGTGTGCAGGAAAGAGGAGCTAGGGAGGGGGATGCAGCCCTGACCAGCCTACCTTGGAACCCCTTCAGAGCCCACTATAGACAGTCTCAGATGGGCTGTGCAGCATCTATGGTGGGCTCTGCAGGGTCACTCTCAGGTGAGTCCAGCGCGTCACTAAGCCCTGAGTCCAGCGCGTCACTAAGCCCTGAGTCCAGCGCGTCACTAAGCCCTGAGTCCAGCGCGTCACTAAGCCCTGAGTCCAGCCTGTCACTGAGTCCAGCGCGTCACTTAGCCCTGAGTCCAGCGCGTCACTTAGCCCTGAGTCCAGCGCTTCACTAAGCCCTGAGTCCAGCGCTTCACTAGGCCCTGAGTCCAGCGCATCACTAGGCCCTGAGTCCCGCAAGCATTGGAAAAAGATGCTCTGACCTTAGATTGGCCGTTCCAGATGGATGCCTTTCCTCCAGTGCCACTAATATTAAGATTCCTTTTACCTTTGTATAAATGGGATCTGCTATTAGTCCTAGACTTTCTAGCTCCTAAGGTATTTTTGAAGATTTGTAGATTGCAGCATTGGGGTTCAAAGAGCCTTTCACGACCTTCTTCACAGGCAGAGTGGTAATGGTACCTATGCAGGGGTTCACCCCCAAGGGTTACCATGAACATTTATCTAAATCTAGAGATAGATAGTGTTCCCAACTTTCCATTTGGCAAATGATCATCAGGTGAGCCAACTGGTTGTCAACAAATCTTTACAAGCCTGCATTGATGCTTTTGCATCAGATGACCAGATCATCTTTTTTTATCCCTTCGGATGCAATTAAGGGAGCCAAGTCTTCCAGTGCAGTCACTGGAAGGTGAAAACTATGGTGTTGTCCCACAATGCTATAGGGTCGGCTGTTCCACAATCTGTAGCAGTGCACTCTACATGGATGTTTCAGCATCATTGGCAGCAGTAGGTGGAGTCTCCTGGAGGGCCTCCACAGCTGGAGAACCAGAGGTTCCCCACTAGACATGTGTGATTCGTTCCGAATCAAAATTCGGACGAAGTTTCAGGAAATTCGTGGATTCGGAGCATCCGAATTTCCGAAATGTACCATGTCCGAATTCATCCGAAAGCATCCGGATCCGAAATTTTGGATTCGGAATTTCGTATTCAGTACGAATTTCGTCCTAATGGAAACGAAATTAGAAATTTACAATACTGATAACAAAAAAAATAATAATATATATAAATCAAATAGTGAGGGTCTAGCATTGAAAGTGAACAGTGGCGACTCTAGGAACAATATATAGGGTTACATTTTTCTTTAGAATAAAGAGTCCAAAATATAAAAACAGCAATTATAACATAGCTTTAGCTTTATATTATGTTAACAGGGTGCAGATAAGATACCACAGTCAAAACTGGGGGGCACTGATAATTTTCACCACTAAATCATACCTGTCATTAAAATGGGCCTGTCATCCACACCGCACATTACTATGTTTTGTTGCTGTAGAGCTTTGTGATACACATGATCCAGGCACAGTGTGAAGGATGGAGTGCCCCAGACTTAAAGGGTTATCAAACCCTCACTATTTTTGCATATATCTACTGCCAGCAAGCAGTAGATATATGCAGAACGATGAAAAAAAAAAAAACTTTTGCAAAGGGTTAATACCTATTCTGTGTCTCCACGGCGCGCTCCCGTCGGAATATCTGAAAATTTCTTGGGCGTCCGCAAAAGATCTTGGGGTGGGCGCATGCGCAGTTCAGATGTTCAGCCAGGAGAGGAGGAGAGACACAAGGTAAGTCTAAGGAGAAGCGTACACCCGCACAGACTCCATGGGACATCAGAGAAGAGGAGGACAGAGGAGTCAGCGCTGGATCGGAGACCCGCAGCGGTGCTGGAGGGACAGCTAAGAACTACAGGAAAGAAGAGGATGATCGGATTAAGAGGCATCATTTAAAGCAAGTCCTTACACTAACATTATCCTTTAATAGTACTTTTCCTGACTACATATATACGTGGCACCTAGAAGATATGTTGTCCGCACACCATTCTGCTTCGGAATGTCTTTTTTATTTGTATTCCTTTAGCATGACAATATGCTACCCTGCCCCAAGTGTCAGGATGAGGAGGGGTGGGCTGTGAAGGAGCTTCATCCATTCGTTCATTGCTTACAGCTCCCTTACCTGCCCTGTAGAGGTGCCTGGACCGGAGTGACATCACATTCTGGCTTCCGGCACCTCTGCAGGGGCATGCAAGGGAGCTGTACAAACAATGCACGTATGGATGGAGCTCCGTTACAGTACAGCAGCCTACACTGCCCCCCAGGCTGAGGATCCACTCCAGTTCTCATTAAGTAGGAAGACTGGGTTGAGCTTAAAAAAACAAAGAAAAACGTGTGTGTGAGAGTGTCTGTCTGTGGTTGTGTGTGTCTGTCAGTGTTTTTGAGGGCACCTACCATGCATTCTGGTGTGGGAGGTGTATTGCATTGCCACTCATTTGAATGACACCCCAAACGCACCTCCCACCCACAGTTCGTACACTCTCATCGGAACGTGCGGTACCCATAATGCCATGTGTTCTATTGCAGTGCCACTTAGGTCACGACTTAATGACCAAGGACAAATGTGGGTCCTGGGGTTACACAGGTTGAGAACCACTGCTCTAGACCTTGTCCCAGCATTCATGTTTTTCTTTTACTATCTTCCTGTAACAGGAAACTGCTTATATAACTCCCTGTGAAAGATCAATATTTATGGTTTTTCTTTGTCTGTGGGGAACTGACTACCAATAACTTACTGAAACACATAGGGGGCCATTTAGTAATGTTGTAACTCACATTTTACACAACGTTTACACAAAATTCACCCATTTTTAAAAAATTATGTGGAAATGGATGAAACTTGGGTGAAAACACTGATAAATTGAACCCATTGTAGTGAAGTAACAGTGACAACTACTATAATTTTGTTTGTACATATTTTTATTTCTCCTGCATTTCAGGATATCTTCTTGGGAGCGAAGACTATTACAGCCATGAGAGATGCTATGAAATTGCTTCTCTGAACAAAACAACGTGTGCCCTTGACTTTCGGGATGGAGAAGCACCAGCCAAAGGGTACGACAAGAAATACTCCACTCACCTATTTACAGAGAGAGCTGTGGATCTCATCACTAATCACAAGCCTGAGAAGGTGTGCACAACTGTAATTATATAATGTTCCAACCGTATGCCTGTGTAAACCTATATTCATTTAAAACCCGGTCAACTGTCAACACGCACATAGAGGTACCTGCATGTACTCCTAAATACTCTGCAAAACAGCTTCAGAGCCACAAAACCTAGGGCACACCATTATGAATACACAGAATGCCATCCCTGAAATCAAGATGAGCTCTACCGTCTACAATACGCTTGGGACCTACTGTACAACATCATGTTATGCTCTGACATCTTTATCAACTTAGGTTTCCTTGCATTCAGCCATAGAGCTTTCTGGCTGCATGTATAGTGACTGTTATATTTAAAGGAGAACTATGAGATGAGTGATTTCAACTCACCTCATAGTTCTAGCCGACCTGTGACAATGAGACTGTCACAGGTCAGCTCAGTAGATCGAAAGGTGAGAGAACACATACCGGCGTTCGCTCACCTCTGGATCCTGTCACGGCTCTCTGCCGTGACAGGGGAGGGGCTGGATTCCCCCCACTCCGATCCGCCAGTGCTGACTGGCGGAACGGACGGGGAAGGGGGTGGGTACAGCTCGCTCTGCTTCTAGATAGGCAGAGCCAGCTGTCAGTCACGCAGCTGGGCGGATCCCGGCACAATTGTGGGGATCCGCTTCAGCTGCGTCGTCTCAGTATACCGCGAGCAGCAGCTCGCGGTATACTGCGGCGTCTCAGTATACCGTGAGCTACAGCTCGCGGTATACTGAGCCTAGGGTGATGGGAGGACGCTAGTTTGTGTCCTCCCGTTACCCTAAGGAGAACTATGGGGAAAAGCCTTAACCCCCTTTAAATGGTTGGTTGTGTTGGGCACATATACAGTACAGCATCATGTGTCACGTGTGGCTGGTCAGGTCAACATCATGTTTGCTTTGTTGATTTTATATTGGTTTTGGCTAGCTTTTGCCAACTCCTGTACACTTCTCCCATACACTTCTCCTCGCCCAGCTCTTAGCAACCAGGGACACTTTGGCGGCATCCCCCTGGCTCCTAGCAGCCAGTGACAATGTCAATTTTCTGTATATACGCCTCTGGACACAATTATCTTTATGAGTATTTGTTGCACTTTATACTTGCTTGGCAACATTTTGCTATGTACTGTCTCATGGAGAGCTTTCTGTTTCATTTTAACAGTAAATCTACCTTTTTTTGGGGGGATGGCTAGCTTTTAAACAACCATATCATTTTAAATGTACGTGATATTTATGTTAGACACATTTTATAGCGTATGTTGTATTGTGTGTTTGTAATAAGATGTAGGTAAAGCATATCTAAACCCAAAAGCAAAAAAAATTAAATATGGAAGCTGACCCATTCCTAAATGTGGTGGCTGCATTAGTTTCTTTTTTAGTTTTTTTTTTTCCACTTTAATTGCAGTTGGTGATCTGGCCAGAAAATCTGTTATTTATAATTTCCCTTGAACAAACCATGCTGTCCAACAAAGGTGGCAGATAGGGGGTTGAGACAAACCATTTAACATTGGTAGGGGTGCTTACAATGTGCAGCTTTTATTCATTTATGTAAAACCTTTATCCCAAAATGGAAAAAAAAACTTCAAAGTTTTAGCCGGAGTTCTAAATTTCATTTATTACTCAAGTCCATCTAAATCTGCTAGAGCGCCTAACACTACCCTCTCCACAGGGTGGCAATGCTGCTGTCCAAAACTAATGCACATTTAAGGATTGGTAAGGTGCAATGCATTAAGTGTTTTTTTTTTTAATTTAGATACACTTTTCAATATTTTTGGTTTTATGTTTTACTGTACCCCGTATCTAATTCCGTTGAACGCGGAACGCATGTAGCAAAATTTGCTACATGAGCTTTTTTTGCCACGTTTGTCACATGTTCAGGACCCCATTGAACTCAATGAGGATGTGTGGCAAACTTAGCACACAAGCGCGCGTGAACGTGACGCTCGTTCCAAGAACGCCAGGAATGCATTTACAATTAAAACTTAATTTTTCTATCATAACTTTGATACCGGTGTGGCTGGTTTTCACAGGTCTCTTAACTTCTTGCAGCCTCTCTTCCTCTATCTGGCTTTCCAGTCAGTTCATGCCCCTCTACAAGTTCCTGAGGAGTATGTAGAGCCTTATAGCTTCATCAAGGACAAGAACAGACGCCTATACGCTGGAATGGTGTCTGCAATGGATGAGGCGGTTGGAAATGTCACAGCAGCGTTGCAGCAGAAAGGACTCTGGGACAACACAGTTTTGATCTTCTCTACAGGTAAACCTAAAGTTTAAGAACATGGCAACCAATGGGGATGTTTATGTTAACTGAGATTTCCCTGAAATCAAAGATTTTAAACCAGCTGAAGAATGCCTAAAGTGCAAGTACAAGCAAACTGTTTAAGTGTTGCTATATCCAACACTTTTTTTTATTTTGGAAAGAGTAGAGAAAGCTAAAAACCATCAAAAACCCATGAGTTTATTTTTGTGGTCTGTCCTGTTTGGGAGGTTTCACTTCTTGTCCCAGAGACGCAACGATGTCTTCTTCGAAAGAGTTTCTCTCACTTCTTGTACTGGTGACAACTGTAATCTTCATATTTATGAATACTCTCCATAATAATGAATTTCCCATTACTTTCTGTCCCGTTGACAATGGTCACCTGGACAAATAAAGAAGAGGAATCTCTCCAATGGGCACCCAGACAATAATCAAGATTTAACAGGTCAAATTCTATGCTGTATTTAAAACTAATAATAAAAAGATTTGACAACACATACACTTTAAATACAAGCTTAAAATACATTTTTGGTCAGTGTTTTACCTGCCAAAGACTTTGTAGCTCATTACAACTATAGCTTCTGCCAAATTTGCTAAATGGACACAAATGATGATATTGATTCAATGACCAGTGAGCACGCTGGAGCAGACAGATGACATAGGAAGAGCTGAGGACAATAGGACATGTTTTTTCAGCAATATCTGTAGTATGAAATCATTGGGATTCTGGTGCACAGATCTCACTGATTGGGGTGGGGGAGGGTACATAGGACAAGCAGGAATCTGGTGGTGATGCATTCAGCCATTGTATTGGAAACTGAAATACGTTTTGGATGAATAATATTGTAGAGTGGGGTTTGGCTGTAAAATGTAGTTAAAATTACATGATTTGTACTTCAATTAATGTCATAAACACTTACATTGAGTATGATTTTATGCATGGCTGTTATATTCCTTACTTACCACTGGAGAGCACCAAACCCCCATAATTTTTATTTTATTTACAGTGAAGCTAATACTGTGAACAAACTTAGCTTATATAAAATGTTTAAAATTATCCATAAAATATTTTTTTCTCTATCTATGAGGCACCTCTGTGGGTTGAATTAGCGGCAATAGTGGCTTATATAGTAGACCCACGAGCCCCGACTGACACAGTGTGTTTGACCCTCCAGCGTTCGCGCCACACACCGCACAGATACACACTCCAGTGCGGTTTCCAATTGCCGGGCAAGATCTCTCTCTCCCCCTTCTCTCTCCAGTTACCGCGGCTCGGCCCGGCCAGCCACAGACGCGGACTGGGGATACTCTGGGGATACCCTGGACACTCCAATCTGATAGTATATTGACTACCATCGTCATCCTTATGTGAATGCAGGGACTCTGGATGCTCACCTGTGACAACACAACCGTAAGTCACACATTCACCACTTCTATCCTAACCATTTAGCCAGTCACAGCAGGCTGTGCAGCATTTACCTATTTATTTATTCATGTCTCATCCCAGGTAGTTGAACTCTTCTTTTGTACTGTTTTCATGAATGTCCCTGGTTAGCTGTTAACCAGGGACGCTGATCTCTCTGCAAGTGGCCGGAGCAAGCCGTAAGATCATGGCTGGCTCCGCCCAGCTGTCAGAAGCAGTCTGTCAGCCGCTCGGCCAGCTTCGGCTTTCAGCGCGGCTCAGCCGAGCCAAGGCATATGCGTTCGGCTCGACTGAGCCGCTCGGCCACGTTCCGGAGCTGTATGGGCTATAGTGTATAGCCCGTACAGCAGCCCTTCGGTTCTACTGAACCGAAGGGGTCCTGGGGCCGAAGCTAGCCGAAGGATCGGCCGAAGCTACGGCTAGATCCTTCAGCTGCTTCGTGAATAGACCCCTTAGTAAAATATTTAACTGTACTCTGAAAAAAAACCTGTACTTTACCCATTTGGGGTAGAGAAACAAGGTGGCTTTAATGCCCCCTTCACTCTCCCAACTCCTCCCCAGCAACATATACCGTACTTATAGTACCTTCCTTCCAGAATACCTGATACTTCTGTGTATAGAGGACGAGGAGCAGTGCCATCATTGTTACATGGGTAGAATCCATAGCCCTGTGTAAACTGGAAGGAGCAGAGTGGAGTGAAGGAATGATCAGTATGTTTGAATGGGTAGAGAGGGTTAAGGGGAACCTGCTGCTTTGCCCGGCATGGCAAAGTATTAGGAAATGTAGAGCTCTATTTTTCCAGTCCTTGCTGTAATTATGCTTTTCCAGTTTTTCAAATCTCAGAACAATCTGACTCAAGCATCCTGGAGGTGGCATGGCATCCAGAAATGTGATTCTTTTAAGGATCTAATTACCTTTCTGCCAGGCAAACAGAAAGACAGCCCTATCTGACCTATCATTGCATGTACAGTACATCTTGAAATCTATGCATTATTTTTTTAATAACTTGGGTTTCTCTTGAAATGGAAGGTTGCTGAATGACAAACTGGCACAAGGTCACATTATGAAAATAAGAAAAAAATAGTAATCCATAAGGAAGAGATAGCAAAAATCACTGAATACACCTTCCAGCCTGGTATACAAAAGCCAGATGCCATTGCTTAAACCAACAACCTCTGAAGAGGTTCAAAATGAGAAAAAAATTAAAGCACTATAGAAAAAAACTTCACCACTGTTATTTTATTAATCTCTGATATCCAAAAATTACAGAAAGTATTTTTAATGTTTATTTGACTTAATCACATGTATGGAGCCACGTGTGGAAATCTCCTGCTTTGTCAGCATCCATGGAAAGCATACTTTCCATGGATGCTGTATTATTTTTTTGCAACTTCCCTATTGTTCTCCAAATTCAGTGCAACGATAAGTCTGGTGTTCACAGCATATGTTATAATGAAAAGAATAAGAAAAATGGGAGGTGGTATAGCAAATACTGAATTGTCACTGGTCAGATCATTTCCTAACACCCAACAATTATGTGTATAGCTGTAGATTGCAGGTGCTTAAATATGCGGATTACTGATTAAAAATGGTATGCTTTTTTGAATTATGATTTAATATACTTATTGGAGGTAGATATTTTATTAGCAAAAAGAGTCACACTAAGCAATCAACCAGTGCTAACATACACTTTAGATTGTGACCAGCCAAGCATGCAAATCCCTGCCATTGGATGATTTTAATTGACGAGTGATCTTGGTACATAGAAGTTCTTATTGCATGAGCTTGCATGTTTGTGACAATGGAGAAGGGATGGAGATCCCACTAGGTCCTGACTTTTCAAAGCAGAACAATAGCAATCAGCCACTCAAAATCTATCCCAACCAATGGTGATCAGCCACACAAAATCCATCCCAAGTAATAGTGATCAGCCACACAAATCAATCTTAACCAATAGCGTTTAGCCACACAAAATCCAACCAATGGTAATCAGCCACACAAACTTCATCCCAACCAATAGAATTAGGTCACACAAACTTCATCCCAACCAATAGAATTAGGTCACACAAACTTCATCCCAAACAATAGTGTTCAGCCATAAAAAATGAATGCCAACCAATAGCGATCAGCCACACAAAATCCATCCCAACAATGGTGATCAGCCACACAAACCTCATCACAACCAAAAGCGATAAGCCATACAAAATCAATGCCAACCAAACCAATAGCTCTCAGCCACACAAAATCCACAATGACTAATAATGATCAGCCACACAAAAAACATCCCAACCAATGATGATCGTCCACACAAAATCCACAATGACTAATAATGATCAGCCACACAAAAAACATCCCAACCAATGATGATCGTCCACACAAAATCCATCTGAACCAGTAGTGATCAGCCACACAAAATCCATTCTAACCAATGGTGATTGGCCACACAAAATCCATCTGAAGCAGTAGTGATCAGCCACACAGCCACACAAAATCCATCTGAACCAGTAGTGATCAGCCACACAAAATCCATCCTAACCAATGGTGATCAGCCACACAAAATCCATCCCAACCAATAGTGACTAGCCACACAAATCCATCCCAACCAATGATGATCAGCCACACAAATCCATCCCAACCAATGATGATCAGCCACACAAATCCATCCCAACCAAAAGCAATCATCTTCACAAAATCCATCCCAACCTTTTGTGTCTCTGATCCAGCCCAGACAGGAATCAACAGAGGAAAAAACACCAGCACTCCCTGGTTGAACTAATCTTTCATTACCTTTAAAGGAGAATTATGAGGCGAGTGATTTTCACTCAGCCTCATAATCTGGGCCGACCAGTGACATTGAAACTGTCACAGGTCGGCTCAGTAGATCGGGAAGTGAGCGAACACATACCGCCGCTTGCTCACTTCTCGATCTATCCGTGCATAGAGCCGTGACTGTCACTCATTCCTCCACGCAGGGATTCCCCCTTCCTCTGTCCGATCCTCCAGCGCTGACTGGCGGAACGGACGGGGGAGGGGGCGGGTACAGCTGGCTCTGCCTCTAGATAGGCAGAGCCAGCTGTCACTCACGCAGCTGGGTGGATCCAGACAGAATTGTCTGGATCCGTTCCGGCTGTGGCGTCTCAGTATACCGCGAGCTGCAGCTCGCGGTATACTGAGCTTTGGGTGACGGGAGGACGCTAGGAGAACTATGGGGAAAAGCCCTGACCCCATAGTTCTCCTTTTAATATATCTAAACCCAAGAACACAAACGTGATGTATATTGTATCTTACCAGTCCTGGATGTGGTGACTGCATTATTTATTTTTCTTTTTTACATGGTAATCCTGCTAGTAACACACTTCCTGTGCTAGAATTACAAAATGGACTCAATGTACTGCTGTGGAGGAGCAGTGTTGTCACCCTAAGGGAGAAGTGCAAAAAAAAACCTCCTCCTCTTCTCCATAGCATTAGGGGAAGTGCTCTGTAGTTCACAGAGAGCATTGGGACCAATGCTAACTGATATCAGCTCACAGGATTTCTTTCAAGATCAACAGAATATTTTTGACACTTATTGGAACAGATATAACATAACACTTTCAATTTTATATTTAGCTTACCAAAAGGGAGCAAATAGAATAAGGTTATTGTGGGGGTTTACATACACTTTAATTCTCTTTAGAATGAATTGCATTACTGTAGGTATAGATTCAGCCCACACAATGGTTTCTTAAAGATGTGAGGTGAATTATAAAATCAGAGACAATCTGTTGCATCTAAACTTCACCCACACAAGACTCATATTTTAATGATATCTTGATGCACAATACATTTTCTAATAGCAGCTTGGCGCTGAGCTCTGATAATTGTCAGAACACAGTATCACCTGCTGAGCAGCAGGCGTATTGTGACTCTCACTAGGTGGAAAGTATTGAGACTCACTAACACACGATGTTCCGCTCTGATGTTCTGGAAACAATGAGAAGGCCGGAGTTCTCTATATCTTCATGCTGAGAGCGGGCCGCAGCCTCTGTGCTGCAGCTGTCTTTGAAGCTCCACAGGTAGCTCAAGAAAATTCAGCCTGACCACGTTCACTGTGACAATATATAATTTTTTATATTTGGAAGATATGCAGGAATTGGTGCAGATGATACAAAGACTCTCTTGGAGGTACATGTAGCAGGGAGGTCACAACTAAATGTGCCTATAAATAAGGGTTTTTTATTTGCAGGATGCTGTGTTGTAGATACAGTTAATGGGACTTTAAGTGGGGAATAACTTATCTAATATTTTTCTCTTAAAAAGTCATCAACTTATTTATCGGCAAAGAACAATGTGCAAATTGCAGTAACTTGTAGCAAATCAGAATCCAGATTTCGTAGCACTGACATGAGTTATAGTAAACTGGTCACTTTGTCCATCCACCCTTTCCTACCGTTGCCAGCAGGAGCCCTTGGAAATACCCAGTACTATGGAGCATGGGGTGCAAATGTCTCTTTCCTTACTCCCACTATGCAGTACACGGCTCCTTTGTGGCCAATTAATAGGCCTACACTCTGTTACATGGGGGCAGAAGGAGTTTGTCCCTAACCCTGTGTAAGCTCTGATTACTTGGGACTCAGGAAGGCAAATTGAGCTGCTGGGTGTGCAGGGAAGGTAAACAGTAGAATGTAATTGTGGGGCAAAGTACCAGGTTCACTTTAACGTGTAAGCAACAGTAAAAACGAATGTATTTCTGTCACTGCCAATAAACTTTCTAAGTTCAACATGAAAAAGAAGTCATCAACTTGCGCAAAAAGATCGATTGTTTATGGACTATATATTGATAGTATCAAATGAACTCCAGTTATACTGGTAATTACTCCAGAGAAGATGTATGCACCGATCCTGCAGCCTGGTTGGTTGGATAGGGAAACATCCATATAACAGCACTGTAAAGAAAACATAGAAAACCGGCACACCGATCTAAGTGCAGTATAAAGTGACTATTTAATAAGGGTAAAAGTAATGCACTTACAGGATATTAAAAAACATCTCGCCTGTCACGCATCAGATGAAAGTCCCATCCCAACGCGTTTCAGAGGTTCACCTCCTTTGTCAAAGGAACCTCTGAAACGCGTTGCCTACTGACACCTGACGACCCGGAAGTACTCAGCAGCTGTGACCCTGCTTTGAGGAGAACCAGCCACAGCAGTGCTCAGCCACTGGATCAGACCTGTGTCTTCCAGCACAGGCGTCCTGGGATCTTTCTGGACTGAACTGGACTCTGCTTTCTCCCTATCCTGATAGCAATCTCGGACCAGCAGCTGAGATGGGACTTTCATCTGATGCATGACAGGCGAGATGTTTTTTAATATCCTGTAAGTGCATTACTTTTACCCTTATTAAATAGTCACTTTATACTGCACTTAGATCGGTGCGCCGGTTTTCTATGTTTTCTTTACAATAAACTTTCTAAGGGTGCCATGCTTTCAGCATTACACTAATTTAGGAGATAAATCCATTATCATCGGCCTATTCTCTACTTTATGCACTTTCCTGTGTCAAAAAATACACACACTTTTTCCCTTGCTATAGAGCAGTAACAAAAGGGTTAATGGGTAAGCCCAAAGTTCCAATATTGTAATCACCCAGCAGCTTGATTTCTGCATCTACTGTACACGGTGAACACTGCCTACCATTTGAGGCCACTTAGAGGGTATCCCCTCTCTACATGTCTTTGCCTTTTGTTTGACATGAGAGAAGGTGCAGGAGATCTGAGAACTCTGATGGGTAAATTTCAATGACACAGTCACAAAGTCATAAAATAAGCTATCCCATCAATATGTTGCCATAGGACTCATTCTAATGATGAAAAGTCTCAAGGACTCCATAAGCACAGAATTAGAATATGTGCCAGGGATGTCAGGGATTACATCTTGATCAATTAGGTTTCGTTTACTTTTTAAATTCTGACATGTTTTTTGATCATGCATTATCCAAAATAAGAGACCTCCATGACATTTCCACGATGCAAGTATGGTGTAGGTTACCCAGAAACCCATGGCATACATATCCATTTTTTGTGCATGCATGTTTGTATGTTTTCTATTCACTGTTCCTAGCTGCCTTTAAAACAAGTTACTGCAACACAATTGCTTTAGGTCCTATTAAAAAAAAGTCTACGATACAGCCCATAGATACATACATGCATAGCAATAAATGGGATTGGTGTGCTTAGGGTGTTCTTGAAATGATACTCATAGAGTGGAGAAGGACTAAAACCTATCTGGACAAGTGCTTACTGCCGTTACATCCAATGTAACATATACAGTAACACATGCCTAAAGTATATGTGTGTTTTGTGTTCCCATTCACACAGCATACCTAAAAATATATATATATATATTTTAATATTTCTTACCCTTGTTTCTTTGGAGCAGGATTGAACACAGGGGACTGCAAGCTATTCTGAGCAATGTCAAAGGACCAAACTGGGGACATTCAGTTTCTCCTTGTTTACTTCAAGCCTCAATATCTTTAACCCTTTGTTAGGACAGACAATGTGGAAATCTAGTTTACATCTGACAATGTTGATTATGGAAAACTTCAACTGCCCAGCCCCCTTGTCAACATTGCATAGTGGGGAAGCTAGGTAGGATTTTTAAGCAAGTAAATCACTTGAAAAGCTAGCAGGATTTTTTTAAAATATTATATTTTAAAATGTTATGTGAATGGGAACATGTAACAAATATAAAGTAGGTGTTATACTAATTTGGCTGCAAAAGAGGAAATTCACTTTAAGCTGTGTAGATCCGCTAAGGCATGCCTATTGTGTATGACATTTTGATATAGGTAGATCAGTTGTGTAATACCATTAAGTGTTTACATGCCTGGAATTCATTGCCATCAGATGGACTGAAGATGGCACTGAGTGGTGGAACATTTTCAAGAATAAACAGCAAAATCAAATATGTTTATTTTAACAAGTAGATGTCATGTGACCTTGATTAACGGAAACTTTATAGACTATTTTGTGTCAAATACTGCTAAAGTTAGAAAATGAGTTTACTTGCGTTAATCTCTCAGCATCCTGGCAGAGTGCTAACTCAAATTTTTTGCTCACAGATAATGGTGGTCAGACCTTAGCAGGTGGAAACAACTGGCCTCTGCGTGGGAGGAAGTGGACCCTCTGGGAAGGAGGAGTGCGAGGGGTGGGCTTTGTTACAAGCCCCTTGTTGGAGCAGACAGGAGTCACAAGCACAGAACTGATCCATATTTCAGATTGGTTGCCCACATTGGTGCATCTAGCAGGAGGATCTACCAATGGGACGAAACCGCTTGATGGGTTTGATGTATGGAAAACAATAAGGTATTTTTTCTTTACAGCATGGCATGGAATTTAAAATGTATCTAAAGCCCAAACGTTTTTTTTCAACATTTACAGTGGTAAATATAAAAACCCATGAGGCATTTTTATTGCTTTATGTGTCCCTGATAGGTAGATGCACTCTCTATTTGTCCTAGTGACCACTGTCATAGGGACTGAACATTTTGCGTTTTCACTAAAACAGGAGGTGAGGGGAAATCTACCAATAGTGACACTTGTTCCATTGACAACTAAGAAGAGATATATCTTAGAGATTGCTCCCCACTTCCTGCTGTGTCAGACTGAAAGTAAGGGAGATCTCCCCAATGGGACACATATGACAAAAAAACAAAAAACTATTTGGCTAATATATTTTAACATACTGTTCTTTGTTCTAGAGATAATCCCATTTAATGGGATACTTAAGGAGATGGGCAGAAACTATGCTATACGTTTTTCCCCAGCATGTTATATTTTTGTAACCAGCCCATGTGTGCCTTCCTGTCAGCTATATTTCTGGTGAATCAGCTAATAGTAGGGATGCACCGCTACCATTTTTTCCAGATCAAGCACGAGTAGCGATACTTTTCCTCATGTACTCGCCAATACCAAATACATTTTCTCACTCAGTTAGCGGGTCTTCAGCTGCACATCAGTTGTCGGTATTCATCAGACTCAAGGAGCTCGAACCAGTAGAACCATAAGGTAGAGAATCTAGTCACTGTTCCCCTTATAGAGCTAGTAAGATCTTCCATGTGTTTAATATCGTTAACTCGCTGGAGCCATTGTCAAATGGTGGGAGGGGATCACTGTTTCCACAAAAAGGGGACACAAGCCCTCGTAGCGTTCGCTAATAAGGATAGATTGTTTATAGCCCTTCAGGGGGCGGTGACTCTGGTGAAGCAGGAAAAATACATGGTCTATCGGTCTGTCTGTAAACTTTTGCATTATGTCTCTAACCTGGTTCCAGAAATTCGAGAGCAGTGGGCATGGCCAAAACACATGATACATGTCAGCCGGAGAGGAGCCACAGTGCCAGCAGGCACCCGGAACCTCAGGGAAGATCCCATGGAGCCTATCCGGGGTTCTGTACCATGTGGTCATTATTTTATAGCCAACCCTCCACGTATCTATTGCAGATTGACAACCCCAGGGACAGCTGTAAGATCTCTCGGCGGAGGTGAACTGGACCTCCAGGTCCCATTCCCGCCCCTCAAGGAAGGGTAGAGGCTGCCTAGGGTCCGGGAGAAGTAGTAATTTGTAGCTGAGTGAGAGTGTTATAGGCAGGGGACCAGTCCTGGAGCATTCTTGTTCAAAAAGAGAATAAGTTCGGGGAGGGCAGTGAGGATAGGTAGTGTTCCAATTGATGTAGTCTCCACAAGCCCAACGCAGCCAAGGAAGGGTCCGAAACAAGTTCGGAAGAGGCAGGCCAAGCAGATCTGCGAAGAAAGTGGAAAGCCCTGAACTTATCTTGCCACCCCAAACGGAGAAACAACGCATCCTGTAGACCTGAGGTCCGGCGTCCAAATGATTGGGTGTAAAGGGGAAACATATAGCTCCCTAGATTTGAAGGCCATTTTAGCTACTCTCAAAGTAGGGCCAATAGTCGGGTGTACCTGGAGTTGTGTCGGAACAGAACGTAGGCACCAAGGAAGGGTACGTAGAGGGATAGAGGAAAAGGACTGCTCCAGGGAAACCCAGGCCTTGAACTTTCCATGTCTGCACCAGTCTATAATTGTAGAAAGATGTACCGCCAGGTAGCATAAAAATACGTCTGGAATGGATCTTTTTTTTCTCTAGGCACCATTAATGCTCCATGACTTTGATCCCTAACTGGGAGTTGCAGTTTTGTTGGCAATCCCCTATCTGATTATGGCGCTTCATAGGACATTAATAATTTCTTCAGTGCAAACTTTACATGAACATTATAGTACATAAATTGTGCACCTAATACAGATGTAGATTATTTGCCTTGTATAGTGTGTAGTTGCTGTGATATGTGTATCTGCAACTGGTTTCCTCTCAAGGGAATTGCCCAATTGTGGTAGAGTATGCAAAAAGAATACACTGCTAGCATACATTATACACTGCTAGCATACATTAAAGTAAAGTTATTCCTGTTCTGTATTTTGCCCTAGTGAAGGAAACCCATCCCCGAGAATAGAGCTGCTACATAATATAGACCCTCTCTTTGTGGACACATCTCCATGTAAGTAACATGCTCTTTACAAAATGAATGGTCTTTGAGCTTTTCCTGAATGCTGCATCAGTATATTTTCTGCACGTACAGTTACCAATAAGTTTCAGTGATAAAGGGTTGTCAAGCACTCCTTGACAACCGCCATATAAAAATTATACACCCCCATGGGAATTGTTGACTTTTTTAAAACATATTTGAACAGGCATACATGAGGTCTTCACAAGAAAAATGTTGCCTTTTCATTCATTTATTCAGCAAAAGTACCAAAAGATGTAATGTGTACTGTGGAAAAAGTACATCCTTGGCATCAGATGTGGGCATTGCTCCCCCTTTAGCAGCAGTGACTGCTTGTAGGCATTTTGCATACCTGCCCCCCAGTCTCTAACATGACATGAAAATTGTTGACCACTTCTCCATGCAGTATCCCTTCATCTAAAAGAGGTTTGAACTGCCCGATTCAAAATCCCTTTACCAAATTTTAGGTGGGAACCAAATCGGGGCTTTGAATAGGTCAGTTCATAACTCACATGCCATCTGAGCATACTCATCACACAAGGCACAGCTAATGGAATTGATTGGCACCCCTTTGGCTCCTGCTTGTTGACAGGTAAATACAGCAACATATTTTGAGTGTACAAGCCAATGGGTAGCCCATTTTGGGCACAAATAGCTAGATTGACTAGCCAGTATTGACAGATTCAATAAATAAAAATGGCCCTGGGGCTTAGCTGTGCTTATGGGACTATCTCCTGTATCCTGTTAGTATCTTTAGTGTATATTACACAACTGACAAGTGATCTGTGGTTAGCTGGGGTTGGCATGATAGCTTAGTCTTTACATTGATGGTAAATAAAGGAATTACATGCTGAAAGCTCTTTGATACCAATTATTTCTTAGGTTCTGCAAATAATGAAACCAGAAATCCCTTGTCCAGCACCATTGTTCCCAAATATGAATATTCATTGTTCAATGTATCAGTTCATGCTGCTCTTCGACATGGGAAATGGAAACTGCTGACTGGATATCCAGGTACTATTTATATGCTTCACTTGGAAATGTTTACACAAAGCATTCAAATATAAGGACTGTAGGTTCGTGCACTGATTTTCTTTGCTTTCAAGGACTGTGGAATTTCATTGCAGTGGTATAGACTGAACTTTCTGGGCCCCTATGACAGAAGTGCATTAGGACCTGTCCTCTGCCTCAACCTCCCTGTAGATCCTTCAGCATCTAGTAACCTCATCATGCAGAATCTCCCATATGGTACCACCCATACCCAAACTCCCTGCATGCAACATCTCTGCATTTAACATTCCTGCTCCTTCCCCTGCATCAAGCATCCCTGCCATCCTTTCTGCATCCAAATCCCCAACCATCCCACTGTCCCATCCCTACATCACCTACCATCCATCCACCTGCGAGCACTTCTAGGGGAACAGATGCAATTGTATTTGTGGCATACTCTCAAACACTTGGTACATGGTTCAAGGTCATATACTTTCACCTAAATATCAACAAAAACGGTCTCATTTTTCTGTATTTAGACTATATTATATATTGTACATAATACATTAAACAGCCTTGTGATAGATTGAGGTGGCACTCACTGAGAGCCTGCTAAACTTCACAGTGTTTTGTGCAGAGGTGCATGCATCAATCAAAGTGTGATCACCAAGTCTTGCAGTTTAATACTGCATGTGTTTGTATAATTCCTAATTGTGTGAATTCAGTGCTATGGTTTTTATTTTTCTTAATTTCTATCTTCTCTCTGAAAAGGTTGTGATCATTGGTTTCCCCCACCAAATGCCACAGACATTCCTTCACTGGACTCTTGGAAAAAATCTCTCTGGCTGTTTGATATCGTGAGCGATCCCGAAGAGACTCGTGATGTAGCAGACCAATACCCTGGTGTGGTGAAGAAGCTTCTCTACCGTCTGGAGTATTATTACAATAATTCAGTGCCAATTATCTACCCAGATGATGACCCAAAGTGTGACCCCGAAGCCTCTGGCGTGTGGGGGCCTTGGGAGTAATAGCTTACTACAATAAAAAGTGAACTCAGTGATGATTTTAAGCAAAATCTTTGAAATAGGACTTAAGACAATCTCTGCTTAAATATTGATTAACCTTTTTAAGATAGGAGCTCTGTGAGAGCCAGATGTGTTGGAATACTGCCACAACACAATATCCTTTTCTGCCACAATTGCCTCTCTAATGATACTCTCACAGCTGGAAGAAGAGCCTACATTAGACTTTGCTGGATTTTATATTATATTAAAAATAAGTTTATAGCAAGATATCTGTCAGCAGTTAGACATATCCTAGTGATTGCTCAGTGGTTCACACCATCCATTTTTCTGTAGACCTGGCATCATCTCCATCACTTTACAGGTATCACAGAGTCCTGACTTTGGGGCTACTGCAGTACAGATGAAGCTGCTCCCAAATCATTAGCCAGCAAAGTGCACACATGTAACTGGAAGGAAGGGAAGAGGAGGTTTTGCACTTAAAGAGACTCTTACACTTTAACAATACTGAAAGCTCCTGACAGGTATGACGTGCAGGCACCCAGAGTCCAGCCTCTTTAATTATGTTTAAAGTTTCAGAATCTCTTTAACAACCAACCAGTATACAACTTTAATTTTGCCAAAGCACATCTGAAATCAAAGCTAACACTCAACTGGTTGCTATGGGCTAAACCTCCATGTTTCTTTAGATATCAGCATTCTACTTGAAGTCCAATAATATCTTGCAAGGCAGGATGACCCCTTTCAGGTTTGCTTGTTGGAAATAGATTGGTAGTTTAATGATAAGAATTTTCTACTATGGATAAATATCTTTTTAAAAAATGAAGTAATATTTTCTACCTCGGAAAGAAAGCATTTTTATTTATCATGATTTTTTAACATACTGTAAGTATATTGCAAAATGCAGCTGCTTTGTCCGTGTCCATTTGGAGTTTGTATTGATAAATTGCAATAAAGATATATTGTCTGTAGCACAGTGCGTAACATGGATTTACAAAGTGCAGTGTTTAGTGTTTTCTTTAGCCTTACAGTGGCCACACACATTAACATTTTTCTTGTTCAGCCCCCGAGGCAAATCTTTTAATTCTCCCATCTACACTAAACAGCATGGATGGAGGAACCTCCTCTGCCAGCTTTTGTATTTTGGCATCTGCAGCTGTCAGTATGCGTGAACATTGACTGCGGGTGATTTGGCTGCAGTCACTGTTCAGCCAACAATTTTCTATCCAGCTCCTTTGACAAAAAGTAATTGAAAATCAACTTTGGTTAAGCCGGGTGGTGCTGTATGGATCAGGAAAGCCGCCGCCACTCCCATGGTGGACTACAATCTCACTACAAATTACTAAACATGAGATGGCTACTTTACCTGAAAAATGATTCCTAGTCTGCGTTACTCCTTCTGACGTAAAAAAAGAAATAGAAAAAAATCTCCACATCTTTGCACACAATGGATCCAGTTCAGCACATTGGTTATTGCATTCTAAACCAGTATAACTACTAATACATGATGTATATTTAAATGCTGTGTATAGGAAAGGCAAGTCATTATTTTTAGATAAAATCAAAGTCTAGAACAAGATTGTTTCATGCGGAGGTGTTATGCCCCTTGCTAACCCCTAGAGGTCACCCACTAACCACAATCTAAATGTATGGCGTACTGATGTAGACGCTCTCATCCTTTTTTTGGGCTGATACAAGTAATGGAATGCTTTAACCCCGTCGTGGCCACAACAATATGACTGTATAACTCCAACTCTAAAATTCCCCTTTTTGTGAGAACATGAATTAATCTTTCAGCAGTGGACTAGGATTGTGCAACTGTCTGTGTTCCTAGTTATCAGAACCTTTGCCAATCAGAAAAATGAATCATAGGGTTATTGTGAAGTTAATCGATGCACGCTGTATAATTTGGTCTGGGCACCTTAGCTTCAAACATTCTGGTCATGAAAGTGTTAAGAATCATGGTTCCATATTTTTTTCTTTTTGGAAACTTTTTGGAAATGGGAATCACAGAAGACATATTCTGCTTTGCAGTGAACAGATTAAAGGGCTGCGTCACTAAATGATGGTTGGTGAAACAAGGATGACAAAGTGGGTCTAGTAAGATCACTTAACTCCCGTGCCCCTCATTTTCAGGTTTGAAGTCTCTCACCAGAGATGTGGCTTCAAGCTAAACTCCGGCTCATTAAAAATATATTCACTGCAATGTTTGTGTCCTGGCACACATGGAGTAAAGTCTCATTTTCAAAAACTATGTGCTGAGGGATGACACTACCATTGTAGTATTGGTCCCTTTGCTACAGGTGCTCCAGAAAAGTGATCCCTTTTCATATTCATCGCACACCACAAATCTAGTCTCTGGAATGACCCCTTAGAAACACTCCCAGCACCAGTCTCTGTGCTGTCTGCTTGTGAGAGACTCGGCTACAATAAAAAAGGTAACACATGCACTACAAAAATTAACACCCTCTTTATCCCCTCTTACATGACCCCCCACATGGGACTGGTGCAATGCATGTTGGTATAGTTCTACATAGTTTGAAAGTGGTCACATGGTCTGTAGGGGTTGACGTTGCAGCATTTATTCAGACCAGCTGATACACAAAGAACTTATGAAAGCAATGAATGATATTATTACATCCTGGTAATTCTATATTCAGCTGGTGTTGAGCGCAAAGCGCATCTCCAGATACCATTTATGGGAGAAACATGGAGGCTACCACTGTTCACTTCTTCAGTAAAAACAACAGGAAGTTCCTGACTGTCATACTGAGCCCCTGGCATCAATATGTTAAAGTGTAATTCCACTTTTGCAGCCAAATTAGGATAAAAGTTACTTTATATTTGTAATGCGTTCCCATTCACATTGCATAACTTAAAAAAATATTTAGAAATTGCTGCTTACCTTTTTTAAGTGCTTTTCTACTTGTGTAAAAATCCTACCTAGCTTTCCCCTATGTAACGTTAAAGAGGAACTCCAAAGAATAGAAGTACCTTTAACATTTAGTACTGCTATACTGTATATGTTCGTGGGAAGCTCTTCACTCCTGGGTGTGCAGTCTACAGACCCGTGGACTTTGGCTCTAACTACCATGCCCCCTGCCATCTCACAATCCACTAAAAACAAAAGCCATTGTTACAATTACCGTATATACTCGAGTATAAGCCGTCCCGAATATAAGCCGAGGTACCTAATTTTAGCCAAAAAAACTGGGAAAAAGTATTGACCCGAATATAAGCCGAGGGTGGGAAATGAGGCAGCTACTGGTAGATAGATACCATTAAAATACATTAATATTTATTTAAAAGAAAAATAACCTAGCTCTGTAAGTGGAAAAGGGGGTACAGGGCTACATATCATGTACTACGGATCATTTAACCCATTCATATTAGCAGAGGATAATTGTAAATCTATTGTTCAGTGCACTCTATATGTAGTATATAGTACATGTACATATAGAGTGCCTGCAACAATACATTTACAATGATCCTCTGCTAACATGAATGGGTTAAATGATCCATAGTACAGGGCTACATACAGATCATTTAATACATTCATGTTAGTATAATTGTAAATGTATTGTCTGCACTGTATTAGCAGTATATACTCTATATAGAGTATATACTGCTAATACAGTGCAGACAATACATTTACAATTATACTAACATGAATGTATTAAATGATCTGTATGTAGCCCTGTACTATGGATCATTTAACCCATTCATGTTAGCAGAGGATCATTGTAAATGTATTGTTGCAGGCACTCTATATGTACATGTACTATATACTACATATAGAGTGCACTGAACAATAGATTTACAATTATCCTCTGCTAATATGAATGGGTTAAATGATCCGTAGTACATGATATGTAGCCCTGTACCCCCTTTTCCACTTACAGAGCTAGGTTATTTTTCTTTTAAATAAATATTAATGTATTTTAATGGTATCTATCTACCAGTAGCTGCCTCATTTCCCACCCTCGGCTTATATTCGGGTCAATACTTTTTCCCAGTTTTTTTGGCTAAAATTAGGTACCTCGGCTTATATTCGGGACGGCTTATACTCGAGTATATACGGTAAAGAGAAAGGATCACCAGGGCTCTCCAGGTGCTTGAGGAAAAAAAACTGATGGAAGTTAAAGAAGAACTCCAGGATTTTGAAACACGCTTGTTTTGGTCCAGGGGTGAAAAAAAATAAGATATACTCACCTGATCCCCAGTGCGGCACTTACTTACCTCTCTCCCCCCTCAGCACCAGCAGTGAAATGTCCCTTGACGTCCTTGCATCTAATGGACTTGCATTAGACGTGATAATGTCATGGAGTCCGGGGGAGAAGATGCTGTGGGGACCAGTCTAGCAGCCAGGTAAGACCCGGCATCAGATAAATATATCTTCATTATTTTAGTCCCTAGACCGAAACGTGCAGTTAACCCTTGCAGTGTGGGAGTAGCCCCACTGCAATGGTTGATTTGAAAAATCCTGGAGTCCTTCTTTAAAGACTGGTAAGTTACATTTTTGTTTTTCTTGGGATTTTAACTTAACATTTCTATCATTGGTCCACTTTAATGCCTAATGTGTCTTTTTCTGCACATCTATGGATACATTTACATACATCTGTGTGACGTTTGTTCTATATATAAAACTTGTTTATTAGCCTTACTTTTAGTAACTTCTGCTATAGCTGCATCAAAAAGATTCTAGAAGCTGCTATTGGCTCCTTGTAACAATGGCCTTTTATAAAGGGAAACACACTTTCTTGCCAATATTTCACTTTCTTGCCAGAGGAAATTCAGGCTTCAGAAAAAATACATTTTGTAAGACACATCTATCTGGCAGCAATGTCTGGCCTGCTTCCAACGATCCGCCAGCAGCCTAAACACGGTCACCCCATGAAAAAATCAAGATGTGTCTCTGTCCCAAATACGATCTCTGACCCGTCCACACTAATTGCTCGGCTCCCCAGCACACAGCGGGTTATTTACTTGCACAGTGAAGCCAGATGGCAAAAGTATAATCATG